TAAAAATAACATCCAATAAAGATGCAAAATCATGTAAACCAAATACATAAGTTTAATAATCAACATACTAGCATAAAGATGCAAAAGCAAACTAAACCAAATATTTGCGTTCAATAGTCAACGTAGTAACATAGTAATTACTAACATAAAGATGCAAAAGTCAACTAATTAAATAAAAACTAAAACAAACATAGAAATGTTCACTTCATCAGTTCATCCTAACTCCTAAGAAGACCACCAAAGGATCTAAATATCATCCTCATCATCAATAAACATAGCACCATCTTGATCATCACTTAAAAAGTGCAACAGGCATTTTCACAGCAAAGAAAAAAAAACAAAGGCATTCACAGGCGACAGTCCACAGGAAACAATAGCAGGCATGCATTTTCAAAGCTAAAATAGCAACATTAGGAAACAAAAACAGGCGTTACAGGCATGCATTTTCATAGCTAAAAATCCTAAAATAGCAGCATTTCACAGGCCACACTCTAGATGAAAAACTAACAGGCATGTTGATAATTGATAGCTAAAATAAATAAATAATTAAAAAAGAGAAGCAAGAACAGAAGGGAAAAAAGAAAAACAGAGAAGAAGGAACAAAAAAAACAGAGAAGAAAGAAGGGTAAAAAAAAAACAGAGCAGAAAGAAGGGCAAAAAAAAACAGAGAAGAAGAAGAAGAAGAAGAAGAAGAAGCTGGTTGCCGGAGAAGAAGACAGACAGAGAGAAAAGCAAGAACAGAAGGGACAAAAAGAAAAACAGAGAAGAAAGACGGAAAAAAGAAAAAAGAGGAAAAATAGAGAAGAAGAAGAAAAGAAATCAGAGAAGAAAGAAGGAAAAAAAAAAATAGAGAAGAAGAAGAAAAAAAGAAATCAGAGAAGAAAGAAGGAAAAAAAAAAACAGAGAAGATGAAGAAGAAGAAGAGAAAAAATGGTTACCTGGTTGCCGGTGAGAGAGCTTGCCGGAGAGTGAGAGAGCGTGACGAAGAGACCCATAGCTCCCAAATATTTCGTACAACAATTGAGCTCTTTTGGGTTCCTTTACTTTTTTATTTGGCTTGGTCTTTTAACATTTTTGGTGGTAGTGGTAGGGACCACCCACCACTTAAGTTACTTTATCACATCAGAATCATCAGATTATTTATTATATAAGAAGAAGAATGTGAAGTCTGAACACAGCAAATGTTTAAAAGGCAAAAATAATAGGAAGAGACAAAGGCGCGCCTTTTTAACTACTTGAGCCTCTCACTCCAATGTAAAAAGTGCGCGCCTTTGTCAACAGCCTCGCCTCAGCATACTCAAGGCGCTGAAGCTGTGCCTTGATGCACCCGATGCCCGAGGTGCGCGCCCGGTGCGCCTTTAACAACTATGATAACACCCTTACAAGTCTACATGGTTTACATTTTCCTTTTCCATCTCTTTTTTCCTTTTTTTTTTTTTTTTTGATAAATAATAATCGATTAAAAAACGTTTAAAAGGAGAACACGTCCCTTATACAAAAGCGGAACCGGGATCTAAGGACCCAAAGAATCTAAAAAATTAACTAAGTCATCAGAAGAGGAGCAAGAACTCCTCTTCACGTAACTAAAGATAGAGCGAATAATATGAAGTTTCAGCGTAGCCATGGACGACTCCTTCCCTTCAAACATTCTGCTTTTCCTCTCTTTCCAAATGCACCACCAAACGCAATGTGTAACTGTCCTCCAATAGTCGCGTACGTTGCTTCTCACGCGGCATCCCATCCACCTGTTAATCAGACTCTTACAAGATCGAGGCATTACCCAAAGCATAACAAATAAGCCAAATATAAGGACCAACAGTCGTACGCCACGGGGCAATGCAAGAGGATATGATCCACTGACTCACCATCTCGTTTGCAAAGGTAGCACCAATTAACAATACTGTTGCCTCTCTTCCTCAAGTTGTCAATCGTCTAGATCATGCCCCATACGGCACTCTATACAAAGAATGCCACTCTAGGTGGAGCCTTAGAGCGCCAGTCAGCTATGTAGGCATGTCTATCAGTGGCAATACTGTACAAACTGGGAAAGGTACAAGATAACGGCTGGTCACCGCACCATAAATCATCCCAAAATCGAACACATCTATCATCACGAACTTTGAATCTGATATGGGACGAGAAGACATCTTAGCCCTTTCGAATGAATTTCCACACACCAACTCCTCTCACAATAGAGACTGGATGAGTAGACCAACTGCCACTCTCCTCCCCAAAACGACATGAAACAAGCCTTCTCCAAGGGCGATGCCTTTCCCTATCGAATCTTCATAACCATTTGCTCAAGAGAGCTTGATTAAAGGGAACCAACCTTCGGATACCTAGACCACCTGACTTCATGGGCTTGCAAACTTGCTCTCATCTGACGAGATGATACTTAAACTCTTCGCCCCTTCCGCCCCAGAGGAAATTCCTTTGGATCTTTTCAATCCTTTCGGCAACAGAGCATGGAATTTGGAACACAGATAAAAAGTAAGCAGGAAGGCTCGAGAGAGTGCTCTTTGTGAGAGTAACTTTTCCCCCCCTTGGACAGATATTGCTTCTTCCACCCTGCCAATCTCTTCACGTACCTATCAATCATAGGATCCTAGCTCCCCACCCTCCTAGAGGAGACCCCCAGAGGCAAACCCCAATAAGGAATAGGAAAAGAGCTCACCCTACACCCAAGAACTGCGGCTAAGGAGGAGATATCCTGAACATCCCCAACCGAGACAAGCACTTTCTTGGCTACATTGACTTTCAGCCCAGAAACCGCCTGAAAACAGACCAGAATGCACCTTAAATATCTAAGTTGAAACACATCAACATCACAAAAGACCAAGGTATTATCCGCGAACAGTAAATGAGAGATCTCCAACTGATGAGCTAGATCTCTACCCACCCTAAAGCCTTTGATAAGACCGAGATCCTCTGCCCTCCTCATAAGTCTGCTCAAGCCCTCCATTACGACGAGAAAAAGAAAAGACGACAAGGGATCTCCTTGTCTCAAACCTCTTGAACACCCGAAGAAACCAGCAGGAGACCCATTCACGAGAACAGAGAACTTTACGGACAAAAGACATGTCTTTATCCATTTCCTCCATCTACTTCCAAACCCATTCTGTAAAGTATAGTAGGAAATTTCAATTAATGTTGATCATAAGCTTTTTCAATGTCAAGTTTGCATAAAACTCCACCACTTCTCAACCTGGAATCCACACATTCACTTGCAATAAGAACTGAGTCTAGGATTTGCCGTCCTCCGACAAAAGCATTCTGGGAGTCTGAAATAATCCCATCAATGACATCCCTCATCCTAAGAGCAAGAACCTTGTCAATGAGCTTGTAAATGTAGCCCACTAGGCTAATTGGTCTAAAATCTTTAATATCAGAAGCGCCACCCTTCTTAGGGATGAGGGCATGAAAGAGGCATTTAACGACTTTTCGAAGACGCCATTAGAATGAAACTCCTAGAAGGTAACCATCACCTCCTTTCTCACCACCTTCCAGCTTTCCATCAGAAATCGCATAGTAAACTCATCTGGCCCCGGAGCTTTGTCACCATTGCAACTCAATAAAGCCTTTAGCACTTCCTCTTCGGAAAAAGGGATCTCAAGACTATATCTATCCAGCCCAGAAATAGCATCAAAATGAAGGCCATCAAGCCTAGGTCTCGATCCTAATGGCCATCAAGCCTAGGTCTTCATCTCTTTTTTCCCTTCAAGTGCCTTAATGAGCCTCATCAGCTTTACTTCTTAACCTTGATAAGAAAACCTTAAGTACTTGCTGAATTCTTTTGCTCTGCTCAATACCCAAGCTAAAACCTCCTCTCTCTCCCTATCATCCCTTTCTTCCCATTGTTTCGTCCTCAAATCGGTTGATCATGGCAACTGGTGATCAGTCAACAGGATTTAGAAGTTCTAAGTCATCAATCCGCTAGCGCTCCTAACGTATCATCCACTCAATCATGGCAAGCAGAAAACTCTTCTTCTTATCATCAGTATCCTCATGGGGCATGGATGTTGACCCATCAATATCTGGATCTTTTCTCAACAATGAACGGTACTTCGTATTCAGTCCTCTGCTCCAGAACCCCCATCTGCTTCATGGATTTGCACCTTCAATCATAGCAATACCATGTGGGAATGTATATTATTATATAACCTTGATGAACTAATTTATAGCACATCTTGACCATCTGAACGTGACCATCTAGGTGATTATTCATGGACGCATGACAAAGCAAATTATTTAGTTGTTGCATTTTGTGTTCAACTCAGTTGGGTGTTTAATGACGTGCTTTTGTGCTGACTTGTTAAACATGGCATGTGCTTTTAAGAGGCTATTTTGTTTGAGAAATATTTGCAATATTTGAGACATGAATCCTTCGTAGCAAGATCCAAGGTTTATAAGAACTTGCAACAATTAGCTGTCCTTGCTTTTATTATCATCAGTTGGACACCATTCAATGAGAAAATATGTTTGTACACTGATAATTTTTAGCTTCCTCTGCATGAATTCCAGAAAATGAGTCTTTGAATCCCATCAGCAGTTGAAGGGGTGGGGCGGAAGCCTAGGCAATCAGCTAGACTAAGGGTTAAATTTAACCAGCAAGAATGGAAAACAGTTTTCGAGAATGTGTTCCTTGCTATATTGCTTTAAACCTAAGGAGTAATGGGCATCCTAATGTCAAGTAAGGACATTAAATATGACTTAGATTTAACAGCACAAAGATATAATATGACTTAGAAATTAGATAAATGAAAGTTTCCACTTAACCTGACATACTCTTAATCTAATATTTAAGTTCTATGCAAATGCATCATGATGCCAACTCATGCATTATAAATTTATATGTCACATATGCCACGCTATAATTATCTTATCTTTGACGGGTATAAACTCCTTTCATATGCATTTCTTTTCTATTCCATGTGTCTTTACCTCCTGAAGTTCTCATAAAACCCTTTGATCTAAGTGAAGATATAAGTTGCTTATTTCAGGTGATTGAAGACACTAAACTTGATTCCAAAGATGAGGGCCCTGTTGAATGGGTTTCATATTGGAAACCAAATATTACAGTTAATTTAGTTGATGATTTTACAGGGTAAGTTTTCTTCCACTGTGAATTCTTTAATTTTTTTTCATATGAATCAATGATTGAGTTTTAGGGGACATATGATTGCCAATTGCCAATTGCCTGTCATTCCTGTTTGAGGAGTTCTTTTGTATGGAAAATCCATTGTTTCATTCAGGAATTGATCATTCAAGTTTGGAGTTGAGACTTTTTGTAGGGAAACTCCATTGTTTCATTTGGGTTTGTAGGGAAACTCCATTGTTTCATATACGAAATACAATTTCATATCTGTATTAAATTTTCAAATGCCTTGAGTTGCTTCTTCCATATTCCCATCCTGAAAAAGTGAGTAAACTTCATTGCACAATAGTATTAAATTAATGTTCATATTCTTCTAAATGAGAAAAAGAAAAAGAGAAGTACTTAGGTTGAATCTCTCAAGCTCCCACATTTCCTTCTATCTTCTATTTAAACAATATAATGAATATTGTATTCAATTTGAAATGTAAACTATTTTCTACATGTCATTTGAAAATACTTCTTGTCGTTAGGAAATATTGTAATATTATTCATTGTTAAGGAAGAAAATGAGAAGACCTATGAAGCATGGATACATAACACGATATGGTGCAGATATGGCGGCACGACAAATTCTTAAAAAATAGGATACGGATATGCAAGGACACGTCAATATATATATTTTTAGAAAGGTAGATATGCATTGATTTTGCAAACTAGCTAAATTTGAGACAACTCATTTTGATCTTTGTGCAGGGCAATGTTACTTAAAACCATGGCTTGAATTATTCTGGCCGAAAGTGTAGTCCTTTGAGTTTTTATAGGATTTTTCCAAGTAGCCTGACTAAAAAAAGGCCATTACCCAGTGTTTGGTCTGCCTACTTATGGTGTTGGAAGGGGTGGTCTGTTGAACCAACTTTCAGCATTGTTTTAGATAAGGTGGCTGCTTCCGTGCTTAAATACACATGCTCAAGTCTGGTAATTTGAGCTTTTTGCTATTGCACAGGGCATTGCCCCTTTTTAAGTTAATATGTGAATTTTGATAAATTTAGCATTTAATTCATGAAGAAGCTTTCCTATCTTGAATACTCCATAAAGTGATAATTCCAGGATTTTCACTAAAAAGCTAATAATTTTTTTGATTTAAAAAAAAATATTTGTTAGGGTGACCATAGATAAAGCACTGTACCACGAAGTACGGTCTGTGCTGAGATCTGATAGATACAATATTTTAATGATAAGCACTGTACCACAAAATACGGTCTATGTGTTGAGATTTGATAGATACAATATTTTAATGAATTAACATTTATTAGTGAATCAGTGAACCTGTTCATATGGGATTAAGGGAAGGATGATGATGTGAATCAGTGAATCTTTCATAGATGCAATATTTCAACATTGTTTGTATATTTCTACCTCAGATAGTCTTTGTAATACTTAAATTATGCTCATTCAGCTTGTCATGTTGTTTTTGTTTTTATGATGGTGAGTTACTTTGCACATACACTGATGCTTAAACATTGGATATTATTTTTTTTTAGCATATTACTTTTCCTATTTATGAGATGCATTGTTGGTGAACCTGCTAATTCTTTGTAACTTTTTGCAGATATCCCCATAATGCCATTCCACCTAATATTGCTCCTTGTATCCTTGAATTGTTATTGTTTGGTTAGTTTGATTGATTTAAAGTCTGCTAAATAAGTTTGTTGGATGATTAGTTTTTATGAATAACAACCAATCAACAAATAGAGTTCTCTTCTGCCTCTCCCTCCCTCCCTCCCCCCCTCTCCCCCTCTTTAAAATACAAATGGGTACACTTTACACATTTGCTATGTGTGAGGCTTTCTTTCTCACTTTCAGTATTTGCATTAGTTTACCATATGTGTACGTCTGGGCTTAATCATTTTGGCCCAACTTTTCCTTTTCTTTTTATATATTTTTCTTTTTGTATTTTATTTTGAATTTTTAAAGCTAGTACCCTTCGTAAATTTTTTTCCATTTGTCTTTTAATTTAATTCTCAAAGATCATTCTCTGTGATTAGTATCCGGGGACAAAGATCACATTAAACTTCACCTTTTTTTGTCATGACCCATGAATGATCTTTTGATAGCTTTTGTTCAGCCTTTCATAATGAAATTTTCCACGACAAAATTTAGGTTGACTGAATTCTATGATACTGAATAGTGAAGGCATACACATGTGAGTATTCTCTCACTCCTTTTTATTGCATATGGTAATTTTTATTTATTTTTTATTTTAATTCAATGCTATGTATTCTCTCACTCCTTTTTCTTGCATATGGTAATTTTTATTTTTTCTATTTTAATTCAATGCTATGCAATTTATTTGGCACACTCCAAATACTGTATTTGTAGTACCACCAAAGGCTGTAGCTTAGTGGTACTTCCTTGCCTTCTAAAGTAGAAGGGGTACATGTCCCCGTAGGGGCAAGTGGGTGTGTGTGTACTTCTTGCCAGTGAAAAATTCTGTATTTGAAGTCATATCGGTCTTATGTAATTAAATTTTTTTTAGCCAACATAAAAACTCCTTGTGGTAAGTGTCATGCTCAAATAACCCATTATCAGTAATTGCATCTAATCTAAATTGTCAATAACATTGTGGAGAGATCTTATCAGTGAGCCTGGAAGTATGCTTACCTATTTATGCATACAAGTATACAGGGGAATGTTCTCTAGCTTTGTTGATAGTATAAATCTTTAAGCATGCTATTCTTTTGGTAATATTTTATTATATTATGCATGAGTTCATCAAGTTCATGAAGCGACTGTTTTCTTCTGGAGAGCTTATTTTTACCCTCCATATATACTTGTATTCTATAAATAGTTTCCAACTGCATTTCAAAACATGGGGTTATAAAGCCATTTGGCTTTGATTTTCTTAACTTGAGTTCGCAGACTTGAATACTGAGCCGAGTACAGGGAACTACTATCCTACCATTTTCTTCAACGAGTTTTGGTTACTTAGAGATAAGTTGATACCGATCAATGAGACATCGATGGAGTTGCTACTGAATCTAGAGGTGGGTCCCATAAGCATGACCAAGTGGCAACTATTCCTGCAGATCGATCAATCCTTTCAGGTTCACCGGAATTACGGAAGCATGCTTGAAGGCGAGGCTGATGAACTTAAGGTGCTTTTATCTTATCTTAGTCTCAGAATTCCCTTTGGCATAGTCACTTAAAAAGTTGGGTGAATAGTAATATTGAAGTCAGAAGTATTGTAAATTTTCAGTTCAAAGTTGTGTTTTGGATCCCAAGCAAGTATATGATATTGCTGAGTGAACTCTTGATTCCTTTTGAAAAATAAAAAAGAAAAGAATTCATTGTGTGTGTGTGTGTGTGTGTGTAAGAATAAATAGCAAAATGAAAGGACATATTCAAGAATCAAAACTATGAGATATATCAGCCTAGTTGACTGCAGGATAGTTGACGTTTTTAAAGCAATCGTCAAGCTCCAGCAACATTACAATTCTCTTTGAAGGAGGGGGGTTGGTCATTTCAACACATGTTTTTTAACCAAGTACCTTAATTTATGAGAGATTTTTCATTGCAAGGTTTCTGTGTGGACTTGTTTATTCAATGAGGCCATAGAAACTGAATACTTCCCGTTTCAATCGAAATTAATTTTACTTTTCCCTTTTTGCAAGCATGGTCTTGAAATCTACCTACTACTGCTGCTGAAATCATATTTGCTTATGCTGCAAATAATATTGTTTGAATTGGAAGAATAAAAGGTCTTCAGTTTTATTTTTAAAAAAAATTGTCTCTCTTAGGGTTATTTACGTATAATAACTTTTTGGCAATTCATAATTTCCAGATTTGGCTACTTACGCAAGTATACCAACTCTTGGAGTTATGATGTTTTGTGTTATCAAGTAGTATTACACATCAAAATAAACATTCAGTGAACTGTTTTTTTCTTTGCTGCTTGCAATTAAAGAAGAATTGAAGGAAATTACATGGATAAGCGGCTGGATGAAGTAGTGTTGGTGCTGATTGAATATTTAGGTTTAGTAATTACAGGACATATAGTTGAATTTCAGAATTCAGATATGTAATGGTTGATTCTCTCATATATATATATATGTATGTTTGTATGTATATTTCAATTTATGTTTCTGTGGAGCAGCTGAATGTCCCTGAGAGCAGCATTATCTATATTTTTGTAACTAATACTCTCACTGCCATTTAGAATACGTGAAACAATTAAAGATTCTTAAAATGTAATTTTTGTGTACTTATTTTTATTTTTTATTTTTGGCTCTTTTCAATACTGGTCCTGCTTTTTCCCTGCTTCTTTCAGCTACCGTGCGTGTGCAGAACCTGTTTGTTTTCTTGTTTTTTGGAACTCTGATTTATTTGATCATTTATTCAGAGAGTATTCTTGGAGGGAAATCCTGTCCTCCTGGTGATTACCATGGTGGTCTCATTGCTGCATTCTGTTTTTGACTTCTTGGCATTTAAGAATGGTATGACAACTATCTATGTCGGTTGTGTGATGCTATTTATGGAAATTATAGTGTAATAGATATTATTCATCATTGTCACCCGTGCAGATATCCAGTTTTGGAACAAAAACAAGTCTATGGAAGGATTATCAGCAAAGTCAGTTGTTGTGAGCTTTATTTGTCAGCTCATTGTGTTCCTCTACTTACTTGACAATGATACTTCATGGATGATACTTGCGAGTTCTGGAATTGGTTGCTGCATTGAGTTCTGGAAAATAGGGAAAGCCATGCACATTGAGGTAATATTCTAGTTACAAATTGAAGCTATTTGCAGATTTTAAGGTATCAATGGCTTAAAGAGAATTGTTTGCTGGCGTTTCTTTCTTTTTCCTGAATTTTGAATTTTTATTTGTTTTATCTTTTAGTTTGCAATAATGTTTGCAGTTTTATGGACATTGTCAAAAATAAAATAGCCATTACTGCAAGAGATATATCAATGTTAAAGATTGTGGGTTATATAGAAGTAGTAGTTTTTTAAAGGGTAAAGTGCAAAAAAAACCTACTGTGTAGGTGTTACCTTAATCACTGTAAATACTGTGTGGAATCATTGGAGGGGGTGTTTCAGCTTTTCTCCTAATGACGATTTTTTCACTACATATAGAGCACTTAGTTTTTGGGTTTTGCTCTTTTGCATCATTTTTTGGTTTTCCCTTGTGAGATCATTATTCCGAGTCAAGTCGAGTTGACCAAGAAGGGAAATCCCCTCATTTGGTGTTGACACATCAGGGTTGAGAAAGCACCCTGTGTTGATTTGTTCTGGATGAAAAACACCAAGTTCTTAGGCATGTTAGGACCTTTCAGTAAACCTTGAATATCTCGAGACCAATGTGACTGTCAGGGTTGAACAGTAGCTCTGGAATTTGTGCTGAAAATTTGGTAGGGGGGGAGGAGTTTCCTAACTCATTTGTTGAGTTGGGAACCATCCACACACAGCTAAGGTTGGGATACATGGAGTGACAACATTTTCGTAAATGGAAAGCCTTGAAGGAAGCTGGAGAAGGAAAGAATGCTTGATGTGGTGTATATGAGGAGGAAGCTATCCATCACCTGAAAGCCTCCAAGACCTAATTGATTTACACATGTTTTTCAAATACCTTCCCAGTGTCATGGGGATACGCACGCCTCTGATCGAGGACAACTGTCATTTGTTAATATGATGCCCCCGCTGGTGATAAACTAGCTGAAGGGTCATATTTTGACAAAGAGCAAGAAGCCACTATCTTCGTGCAAGAGGCTAATACTATAATAGGGCAATTGGGTTCAAAGTTTGAGAAGAACTTCAGTTGTTCCTTTATCTGACTCTGGCATCAAGCAACTGCATATTTTTATCTTTGAATAGTGTTATTTGGAGACATTCAATCACTTGGTAATGGGTCGATGAGGGGAGCCGAGTCACCTTCGATGGTCCTAAAAGCAACAAATATTGCTTGCTATCTATTTCTTATCTTGGCAACCATTGTGTATCCTTGAAGGGGCACCAGAGGATGGCCCTTACTTAAAGTTGGTTCTTCTTGTGGTTAAAGATTACTCGAGGATTTTCAATAGTGCTTGCCCGGACACGCTTTGGAAGACATAGCTTAATATGTGTGCTTCTCATTGTATTGACTAACAGCCTGATGGCACTCTAGGAAGGGGGTCAACTGGTTAATCATACGTAAAAGCTGTCGGGAGGCTCTACAGGCACAACTTTTTAGTCATAGACCTGACTGTACCATCGATTCATTCGAAGGAGGCGAGCTTCCCTCGATCAATGAATTTTCTTGCCTGCCTTGCTTCCATCCCTTGACTTAATAATGTCAACATGAATTAAATCAAAAGGTGCAGCGCTATCTTTCTCTGATGTGGCCAAATAATGGCTACATATCATCACACGTACTTCTGTTCACTAATTGATTAAAACTTGGTATTTTTGTCCACTTTTTTTTTATTCTTAATTTCCATGGAAGCGAGCTCATGAAGCCTTGAAGACAATTGCTGGGCTTTGTTTTGAGCCCTGATAAGGCGTTGGTTCTGTCGGTCAAGGTCGCTCTTCGCTAAAAAGAACATACGGTACGGTCATTTAGTGTAGATAAGGAGTGTGGTGATCGGCAGTGAGGTGAGGCAAACGATGAAGAGTTAGTGAGTGGGTAAGACAAGGTCTTTGTTGGACCGGTCAGCAGATAGTCGAGACCAAATAGCTCAATGCAGGCAAGCTGTAAGCAACATGGAACTGCCTAAGCTTAGAAACACAATTCAAAGTGAGTCAGGCAGGCTTATACTATTATGACAAATAGTTGGTGAACATTGAACAGTATAAGGGGCCAGTAGCAAAAAGGGGAAATTCGAGCCCAGGCCCCTATAATCGTAAAGGCAACCACTGCTACCTGTGCTGGTTTGTTTGTATGGATATGAAGGATCTCCTACTTCGGCTGGAACTTGCATATGCAACTTTAGGGTATGAAGTCCCCGGTCCTAATCAAATAGTGAATAAAGGATCTGTTGTAAAACATAAAACGGAAGCGAAGAGATAAATAAAACAAGTAGAACACATAGATATTACATGGTTCAACCACTAGGGCTTACATCCACGGCACAAAGAGCCTAAAGGGGTACATCATTTTTATAATACTCTCTCAATTCATATACAATACAATGGTGGAGGCTCCTTTATATAGGAGAAAAAATTATGAGAATGGAAAGAATTAGAAAATAGGAAACAAAGAGAATTTTTCTCCATTGATTCCTCTAGTAACATCAAATCTTCAATAATTGGAAACTACATCAATTATTGAAAGATTTTCCTCCACTGATTCCTTCATTAAATCTTCAATACCTCCCCTCAAGTTGGAGCACGAATACCTAACTTGCCATTAAGATGACGAGTAACAACGAGTGTGAATGATGAAAAGAGAAGAGAGAAGACGAAGAACAATGTTACCGAACACACCGACAGCCCAAACAAGTGAACAAAAAACTGCCGGAGACACGGCAAAGGCGAGGACAATGCTACCGAACACACCGGCAGCCCAAACAAGTCGATAAAAAACTGCCGGAGACACGTCAAAGACACAGACAATGCTACTGAACACACCGCCAACCCAAACAAGTCAACAAAAAACTGCCAAAGACACGGCAAAGGCAAGGACAATGCTACCGAACACACCATCGGCCCAAACAAGTCACAAATAGCACCGAGAAACCCTTAGGATCAGTGGAGGAATCAGCGGAGGAAAATCTTTCAATAGAACAAACAAGTGATGATCTAAGGCAGTTTTTAGGGCTTAAAACTCTTTTTTGATGAGGGTGAAACCATACCACTAAAAAGAGATGGCAGTTTCCCCAACCCCACATTCTCAACATTTATCCATTTCCATACAATTTATGTATGATTTTATTTACTATTTTATTTATAATGTATGATCTGCAGGTTCAACGGGGGGTAATGTATTGCTGACTGAGGAATTGATTGCATATGAACTGATCCATAAAACTCTGGGCAATCTGATTTTTAATATTCAAGAACATGCCCGCAATAGGCCTCCATAGACTTTTGTCCTGAGCCTTTCGGCCAGTGGGACAGTCTTTTCTTCTGTTCGTGAGATTCTTGTTGATAGAATAACGTGGATGCACAAGCCTATGATCCGGGTTTCGGACCAACCGAGTGTTGAGCCAGGACAAAAATGGTAATCTAATAAAGATTACCATGTACCATAGTCTAACGCCCCTAAGGATTTGATCGAACTACGAACTGAGTTATCGGAAATCTGCCCTCCATGGTTCCCAAGCCGATAACACTAACTAAAGAGGAGTTTGGCAATGGAGTACGATCCTAAGGAAGACAAGAGGTGGCTAGTTTACTTCGATGACTTGGAATGGAATTATTAAAGACCGAACCGAAGTGATTAAATTGATTGAGTTCACGAGCTAGATTTGTTGTCAGGGGCTTATTTGTTATTACTTAAATAATGTTGGGGCTTATATGTAATTTCTAAAACTTCTTATTATAAATAGAATGTGGTGGAAGGATGAAAGTATTCTCTCTCTTTCCCCATCTCTCTCTTTTTCTCTTATCCGCTTTCTTCTCTTTTTCTTCTTCTTCTTTATCACTTACTCTTGATTTGATTATATCTTAAAGTCAACATGGTATTAGAGCATGGTTTGTAAAGCTCTAGGTGTGTAGTTGAAACCCTAGGGCAAGTTTATGTAAACCCTAGTGGGTGTGAAGGATTTTGAAGAGATTCCAGGATGGGATTTGTTTGCAAGGAAGTAGTAAATTTTTTTTCTGGACCTGTTTTATATCTATTGTAGTCTCGATTGGTGTGTTTTACGTGTTCCTTGGATTTTGCAACATTGGCTTTTTCTTTGTCGTTCGCTATTATGGTATGGTATACTTTGTTGCTTTCTAGGGTTTGTTTGGTGAATGTGTGGTCACTTTTTTATCCATCTCAGAAGACGGTAATCTTTCTAATTGAAGTTTGTGTGTTAGAGAGGTGGTTCTGTACGTATTTTGTTGCTGTTTTTGTTTGTGAGGATTGTATACTCAGAAATTGTTTGATAAAATGTCTTGCTCAGAGGTGACTTCAAAAGAAGCTGGGTCTTCTCCTAGTCTGACTCCAGTATTGGGAGGTTGTAGTGATCACCATCCAGGCCTTTGTATTACGACTGTTAGGCTAGATGAGACAAACTATATGGAGTGGGCTCAATCTGCTCGTATGCATATAATTGGTCGTAGGATGATCAACCATATTGAAGGGACTGTGACGTATCCCTCCAAGAGTGATCCTGAATTCAAAGAGTGGAGTGCAAATAATGCACTAGTTATGACGTCGTTGTTGCAGTCAATGCAACCACAGATCAACAAAGGAAGGGTTTCTGTTTGTGAAAACAGCTAAAGAGTTATGGATGGCTATGGAAGAGACGTATTCCTCGGTTGGTAATTTTGCAAAATTGTATGAACTCCAACAACAGATTTCAAGATTCAAGTAGGAAGACCAAACTCTTGCTATATATCACCACACTTTACGTGGTAAATGGGAAGAGTTAGATCACTACCAAGACTACATACCTGTGTGTGCAGCTGATGTTAAAGCATTTCATACTATGGTAGAACGGAATCGAATCTATGAGTTCTTAGGTGGTTTGCATTCGAGATACGAGTATGCCAGGGTACAAGTGTTAGGCAGCAGGTATCCATCCCCTACTTCTGTTAGAGATGTGTTTTCGTATATCCAAGCTGAGGAGAGTAGAATGAAGGATATGTCTGCACCTGTATACACTAAGCCTGAGCTAGAAGTACCATTGTCTGAGAGGTCTGCCCTTGCCACACAACAATGGAACAAGCCCAATCCTCCAAAAGGAGGGAAACAGGATGACAAGAGTAAGTTGAGGTGTGATCACTGTGGGCGTATGTGCCACACTAGGGAAACATGCTAGAGTCCACGGTCAACCCACTTCAGCTCCTGCTCATGCAAATGCTAGGCCAAGGCTTGGTCCATTTAGGGGGTTATCTATGGCACATACTACAAAGCGTGAGATTGCTTCTACTGGTCATGTCTCCTTAAGGCCATCGAGTTCTTTGTCCGGGGCTGAACTTGATGCTCTCCGACATCTACTAGCACAACATTCCTCCATTTCCACCTCTTAACTTCGCTCAGACATGTACCTCTCATTCGGCAAATCAGGTTTCCACATTATGTGGTGGGCCACCCTGGATAATTGATTCAAGAGCCGCTGATCACATGACTAGTATGGCATCTGATTTTTCTTCGTACAATTTATGTTCTGGTAAGGATAAGGTTAAAGTGGCTAATGACACCTTCACCTCCATTGCGGGGAAGGGCATAGTTTCTACCTCTCCTAATCTTACCTTATCCTCTGTTCTTTATGTCCCAAAGTTTACCAATAACCTCCTTTCTGTCAGTCACATTACAAAAGGCTTGAATTGTAGTGTAACTTTTTTTCCATCACACTGTGTGTTTCACAGTACTTGGATACGGGGAAGACGATTGGAAGTGGACTTGAGGACAATGGCTTGTATTTGCTTAACGCTTGTCCAACTTCTTATTATGTTGCAAATCAATCTAGTGTTAGGAATTGTAATGTCAATAAAGATCTGTTAATGCGATGGCATAATAGACTAGGTCATTTACCTCTTCCTGTTTTGAAGCATGTGCTTCCCTAGTTTGCTTATATTGAATCTTTTGAGTTAAATTGTGAAACATGCGTTCTTTCCAAACAATGTCGTTTTTCTTACCCTACTAGGATTAATAAAAGTACAACTCCTTTGCAGCTTGTTCATTCTAATGTGTGGGGTCCTGAATCTACTACTTCGTTACTTGGTTTTCGTTACTTTGTCGTGTTTGTCGATGACTTTAGTCAATATACTTGGTTTTATCTTATGAAAACCAAATATGAAGTTCATTCTGTTTTTAAAACCTTTCTTACGATGGTATGTACTCAACTTGGTTGTCCCCTCAAAATCCGTCGATTTGATAATGGAGGAGAGTTTATGTATGGTGGTTTTGCTTCCTTTTTTGCTGATAACGGGATTGTCCATCAAACCTCTTGTATCGATAGGCTTGGAGCTAGACCTATTGATATTCCCATTGAGCAGAACTATAGGCTTAATGATGTAGATGGATACCCATTAGATGATGTGGGTAGATTTCAACGATTGGTTGGGAGACTGATTTACTTATCTCTCACGTGCTTGGATATTGCCTACGTTGTTAGTGTGATTAGCCAGTTTATGCATGCTCTACGTGCACCTCACCTTGAGGCAGCTCATCATGTTCTTCGCTACCTCAAGGGTTCACCTGGTAAGGGGATATTGTTTGGCAGTCATGGCCACTTGTGTGTTGAAGCCTATACTAATGTTGATTGGGCCGGGTCTATGACAGATCGACGAACTACTCAAGGATATTGCACATTTGTTAAGGATATTGCACATTTGTTGGAGGTAATCTTGTTTCATGGCGAAGCAAGAAACAGTCTGCAGTTGCTAGGTCTAAGTGCAAAGGCTAAGTTTAGATCTATGACACATGGAGTTTGTGAGTTGTTATGGCTACGTACGATGTTGGGTGAGTTGGGTTATCCTATTCGCGAGTCAATAAAGTTGTGTTGTGACAAGAAGGCTGCTATTAGCATTGCCCTCAGTCTAGTTCAACATGACAGGACAAAGCACATTGAAGTCGATCGATACTTCATCAAGGTAAAGCTTTGTTTTGGGCTGATTTGTACTCTATACGTCAACACACATGATCAGGTTGCTGATGTTTTGACTAAGGGTGTGGGCAAGACTTGCTTGCAAAATATGTTAGTCAAGCTGGGCATGATAGATATCTTTTCACCAGCTTGAGGGGGACTGTTGTCAGGGGCTTATTTGTTATTACTTATATAATGTTGGGGCTTATGTATAATTTCTGAAACTTCTTATTATAAATAGAATGTGGTGGAAGGATGAAACTATTCTTTCATTCTTTCTCTCTTTCCCCATCTCTCTCTCTTTTTCTCTCATCCGCTTTCTTCTCTTTTTCTTCTTCTTTATCACTTACTCTTGATTTGATTATATCTTAAAGTCAACACGATAAAGCTTATTTACTTTGCCAAAAGTGCAAGCCAAGGGTCAAGATTCTGGTCCGAACAAGGCTCTTTCTCCAAAGTCTTCCTTCATGATTCTCCTTTCCATAATAAGGCCCTGTTGAGGCACTTTCACCCCTGTGAACGATCGTTCTCCTGGCTTTCCAAAAGGTGCAAGAAGTCATTACAAAGCAAAGGTTGGTATAGAGTTACTCCGAGGATCTGCCCTTCGAGCAATTTTGCAAGGAAAATGTTTATTCTAGAAAGCACGCACTTGATTTTTTCATCAACAAAAGATGGCAAGACAAGATCCCCCGCCCGAACTCCTTTCTTCGGCTGGAGCTGCAGAGTCTTTCAGAGATCTCAATTCTTCCTCTTGGGCCTGTTGCAGGAGACTCAGCTGGACGACCACTACTTGAAAAACCTTCTTTCCCGGCCGGATGGTCTTTTATCTTCTCTCGCTGTCTTTCACAACAGCCGAGTGGTTGGTTGCCTTAATAGGAAAAGATCATATCACTCCTATGAGGAGAGCCTGACTTTCTATTAGCGTGCTTTGTACCTTGCATCTTCAACACAACTTCTGCTTAGATGGGATATATGATTGGTCATATAATCGTGGGAGGTTGCCCCTTCTTTGCCCATAGGTGAGGCAACCGGGGCATAGAGAAAGCCTGGAATATGAGTTCTGTCTGCCCGCTGGTCCAACTCCCGCTCAGCCGTGCTTGTATTTTGTGCCTTGTACTTGTCTATGAGCCTGCAACCATACAAGCTCTTTTTCAGCTTGCATACCAAACCCTCCTTTTCTGGCACCATGAATCCCTGTGGTTGCCTTGGTCCGCTCTGCAAAGCTGAGCTTTTCGGGATTCGTTCCCCCTATGTGGTTGGCTTTCTTACCAGTCTACCTCCCTGCTATTGGGATAAGGGAAAGGGTAAGCGGTCACCTACGCCTAATTGGAAGGACCGTTCTGGAAGAACTTCATCACCATCTTGAGCAAGAAGGGCTTTGGCCGGGTAAAGATGTTATATCAGTAGTGGTGTCTTTAGTAAAGGCAGATTAATCCAAAAAAGATTTTTTTATTTTGAACAGTCTCAACGCCCTTGTTGAGAGTCGCTCTGTGAGACGTCCAGTTATTTGGAGACATCCAATCACTTGGTAATGGGTCAATATGGGGAACCAAGTTGCCTTCGATGGTCCTGAAAGCAACAAATATTGTTTCCTATCTATGTCTTATCTTGGCAACCATTGTGTATCCTTGAAGGGGCACCAGAGGATGGCCCTAACTAAAAGTTGGTTCTTTTTGTGGTTAAGATTACTCGAGGATTTTCAGTAGTGCTTGCCCCATTTTCCTTGTCAAGCTATATTATTGCGTCGATATGGTTCATAAAGATATTTAGTGGTCAGTAAGTTGATTATAATGTTGCATATATAAGGACCTTAATCTTACAAATGTTAAAATATTTTTTGTCCACTTTATGGAGCTATGCTTTATGGTGCAGACTTTTTTTAATGAGCAAGAAACATTGTGTCCATTAGATCAAAACATCTTGCATTAGAATATTTAGATGCATCATTTACTAGAGAAGAAGAAAGTAGAATTTGAAATATATTTATTTGTGAAACTTGGTGGTAGTATGAACTAGGTACAAGATGAGAGAGAATTGGCTGTGATGGTGTCAATGTGTAAAGAAAGTATATGATGCATTAGTATCAGTGAAATGGCTCAAATTGAAGGCGCTTCTGGGATAAGTTGGAGGGGTGAAATGGATGTGGATTGTAGTGAGAAACTATCTGTTAACAATAACTTAAGGGATCATATTATTCAACATAGCGGAATCATCATTTTGCTGAAATAAAAATGTTGGTATAAAGTTTTTTTGACTTGAATGGCTTCAGTTGTTTACTTGGATGTATTTTATATTTCTACTGTGAATATTTCTCTTCTGCACGTGTAGCATAGCTTGGTGCGCTAAATTAGCATCCTTAAGTTCTCATCTTCTTTATATATCATGGTTCATAAAAGTGTTCCTGTTTTCTCATTGTATTCTCTCAGATAGGTTTTTTTTCGTACTTGAATGCATCATTACTTGTTTTTTACACCAGTTTATGTGCAATGGTTTTTTAATGGAATGGCTTGGTTTTATATACATTTGCAATGGTTTTTTTGGCAAAAGTTTTACATAAGCATGTTGCATGTGTTGTTCTAAAGTTTGTGGGCTGCAATAGTTCAGTTGAGATTGCCTGAGACACTGAACATGAATTCTCAATTTACATATTTATCATGCTCACAAAAATTTTAATTTATTGTGTGGGTGCTCCAAAGCATATTTCTGACAAAAATTTAATCTCTCCATCTTCTTTCCAGATTGATAGATCTGGACGGATACCAATGTTGAGGTTTCGAGACCGTGAGTCATATGCTGGGAACAAGACAAAGGAGTATGATGATCTTGCAATGAAGTATTTGTCCTATGTGCTCTTCTGTCTTGTTGCCTGCTCCTCTGTATACTCTCTCATGTATGAACGCCACAAGAGCTGGTACTCTTGGATTCTCTCTTCACTAACAAGCTGTGTTTACATGTTTGGTACGCCCTTGAATTTTTCCCATCATCTTGTTTAAGCCTCTTGTTTTTGTTGTTATCTTTCCTTCCTGCTGTTATTGTGTTCTCTTTTTTCTGTTTCTTTACTGTCTGTCTTTTTTCTTATTATTAACTGAGGATATTGCTTCAGAATCTCATGCCACTTCTATAGTCATTTCTGCATTGATTAGCCTTTCATCTTTGTTCCATAATTCTAAAACATGCTACATTTTATATATTGGTCATATGTGTTGTTTCATATTTATGGGACAAGAATATCGAGTTCCTGTTCCATGATGAAACATAGATTTAGCAGATCACAGGAAGCTTCCTAAAGCATGGATATTGAGAACTTCATTTTTTTTTTTTTTTTTCGCATTTGTAATAGGAACAGCTAACTAGCCAGGCTTCACAAGTTGACTTTTTAATCAATTATTTTTCAAGCAATTCTATATGATCTCTTCCTTTTTATGACTATCAGTTATGGTGTATTTGGACAAGTAAGAGGGAAAAAGAAAAGATAGTGGTGAATTTTCAATTTGTGTTTGTAAAAAGATAGAGAACTTGAAATGCTTTTGCTTTGTAAAAGGAAGCAGTTATTTAGCCAGGCTTCAAAAGTTGGCTTTTTAATCAATCATCTTTTTAAGAAATTCTTTCTGATTTCTTTCTTTTTATGATTATCAGTTATGGTGTGTTTGGATAAGTAGGAGGGAAAGGAACATACATGATACCGTTAATTATAAAAGAAACGAAAGGATAGGAGAGAGGAGTGTTAATTTTTCATTGTGTTTGGATAGCTGAGGGAAAAGAAAAAGATAGTGGTTTAACTTTTCAATTGTGTTCGGAGAAAGATAGTGGAGAAGAAATAAAATGACTGTTTATTTTGTGTGGGTACGGACAAATGCATAGATCTCATTTCCTGCCAATTTTTCCCATTTTTGAGATGAAAGGTAAAACTGTATTAAAGGGGTTTGGTTCTCTCCTTCATATTCCTTGTCTTTTCTCTCCTTATTTCCAAAACAAAAATGAGATATGTTCTTCCTCCTTTCCTCTCCTCTCCTGCCCTTTCCTATCCCTCTAATCCCCTCAATATAAACAAGGTGTTAAGAGTAACTGTATGAAGACTCGCTGAAATAATTTAATGAAGAGATAATAATCTATTGAATCTAACAACTTGGAAACTAGATATTTGTATACACTCGGAACTCAAAATTTTTTTTTTTTTTTTTTTCCTAATTGGTACTCACATACACTTGTCTCTTTTGAGACTTGAACCCCTGACCTCCCTTTGGGGGGTAAGATGCTGATACCGCTAGGCCACTGACCCGTTGGTGAAACTCAAATTTTTAAGAATCAGTTTGATCATCAAGGTTCTCGATTCAAGTAGATTGCTACATTTTATGCTAGATACTTAATTTGTTGGTAGAATCTTAATAATATAATTTGTTGGTTCTCTTTTTACTTTGTTGTTGCAGGTTTCATTATGATGTGCCCTCAATTGTTCATCAACTGGAAGCTGAAGTCTGTGGCTCATCTACCCTGGAGGCAGATGACTTACAAGTTTCTTAATACAATCATTGATGATCTCTTTGCATTCGTCATAAAGATGCCAATACTGCATCGTCTTTCTGTCTTCCGTGACGGTGAGTTAAGCTCGAAGTTTGGCATCTCTTTATGGATAATTGTCATATGCCTAAATTTTGACATGACATAATGTGGGGTTGAGTGGGCTACTGCTGTGAACAACTTTGGAGTTTCAACTGTTTTAAAGTAGAATGAGTTACTGATGCAAGGCAAGAGTAATGTGGCAGCCTCTGCATTTTTTCTTCTTATTTATCCCGACTTGAACCCCTAGTCGGCCAACTAATTTCCAACCAAAATTATGCACTGTGCATACTGTACAGAAGCTGTAAAATCCTAAGAATAAATGAAAACAAGTTATTGTATGCCGTGGTTGAATAGACGTAGGCGATGGTAACATTCCTAACTGTGACAAGTCCCTCAGTCCTTGATCTTAGAAACCCTGAATCAAGACTAATGAAATGTCTTTTGGGTCTTACCTCTAAACCTTCTAATGCTTGCAGAGACAAAAAATGAGGGACTAGGAGTTGTCACACCCTTTGAGCCATAGAATTGCAAATTACTGGAGAAAATTTATGTTTATGTTAATGTCAAGAGTAATCCCCTTTTGGTGATGGTTACAGCAAAATTACTACCCTTGTACATCTTTAATCTTTTTATTTTTATTTTTTGTAATTTGGTTACTTCTTCTCCAATTATATGGCCATTCCTTTCGACTTTGTACAGTTCTTTTGTTAATGTGTTTTGTCTCTTGATCTACCTTGCAGATGTTATATTTCTGATATATCTATATCAGAGGTGGGTTTATCCAGTTGACCGAAAGCGGGTGAACGAGTTTGGTTTTGGTGGCGAGGATGACGATGGGGCCTCCACTAGTACAGATGTGACAACATTGAAAGAAGACGAGAAGAAGACCAACTGAGATGGTTTGATATGAACCATTTAAAAATGTATTACAGCACAGCCTGTGAAATTCACTTGGGAGGATTTCTCTCCTAAGGTTTTGATACTCATTATGTTTTTTTTTTTTTTTTTTTGGAATTCTAAACAGTTTTACAGTGGGTTAACACAGACTACAATGGTTCTTGGGTTTCGGATCTTCTGTTGGGAGAGTACCAAGGCCATGTTTTATAAGACAAAAGTAAATAGGAATGTCCATTCATTGGGAATGTTTTTCTAAGGAAAAAGTTTGAATGTATTTGACTGTTGAATGTTCCAGTTTCACGTTCTTTAGGTTTTGTTGAGTCCATTACTATGATCTGCTGGAAGTGTAAGCGTTATGGTTGGTTGTGTTCTAAAGTTTACCCATTTTAGTAAAACAAGCCCAAAGATCAGAATACATATATTCAATTTTAATAAACAAAATTCGTTTATTTGCCTTTTTTTTTTTTTTTTTCCTTCTCAATTTGAGATTTTAATTTAAAATTTTATAGTGTCATTCAAAAATGAAATATTATTGTTCATATACGTTTATATTCTGATTTAATGGTACTCGGTGGGATCTGTAAACAGAAAGAATGTGCTATGAGAAATTCTCTAATGAAGTTTTCATTGCATTGGAAAACCACAGCTGTGACAGGAGTAGATAAGGGCGAACTAGGGTTTCTCGCGAGTGATTTAGGGCTTCTCGAGGAGGATAGAATCCGTGTTCCTAACAAATTTATTAGTTCAAAATATATCTTTTACCAGACAACTTTTTTATTCTGTATCATTTATAATATATTGGGCAAATTGTAAAAAAATTCCCTTTACTATTACCCAGTTGCGAAAAACCTCTCTTATGAATATATTGGGCAAAAAATCCCCCTCAATTATCACAAGGGAGTGTTTTTAACTAATGTCTGTTTAAGTGGTTGTTTGAGGGAATATTTTGGACGAAATTACCTTTTAACAGATTATTCTTTAGACAATTTTATTCTTTTTTTCTCTCCTCTCTCTCTGCGTCAAGCAAGCTTTCTCATTTCTTCAAACACAAAGCTAACAGTAGATTGAGAAACTCAATTGTGGAATCAAAACAATTTTCGAGCAGTAGGTGATGGAATCAAAACAATATATGATGGATGATAAATGTATTTCTCTCAAACTAAATTTACTTAAATATCCTTTATAATTAGATTCCTGTTAATTGAATGGAAGGCAACGGTGTCCTTTCATATTAAAAACTTTCATAAATTTTTAGGTCTTTAACTTGAGTACATCAACTACAACAATTTCGTTTCAAAAAGTTACTTTGAGATATTCGTGTTCTCGAAGTAAATTTTTTTAAAAAAAATTCAGATTTGAAAAAGAAATTATGTTACTTTTTAATTGCTAAATTTTAGTCCAACTTACTTTGCAGTAGCATAATTCGATTAAGGAAAAGAACGAAATTGAACTTAGAAAACATGACAAATTATTAATTATTTCCTTTAAAATAATTAACTGTTATAATGGTCGCTAAAGATCAAGTGCACTGAAGGAGTTCTTGAGCTCTTTAATTTTTCCATTTTCTATTCCAACGCCATGATGGATCTTCTCTCTCCTGTGCCGTTGTACTCAATTTTATTTGATTAATTATACATAGCTTAACTATGATTTTATTGGCTTTCCATTTTTATTTTTTATTTTTGGAATTTTTCTTTGCTGCTTCACATACCTTACTTGACGGAGAGAGAGAGAGAGAAAATAAATAAATAAATAAATTGTCTCAAAAATAATTTGTTAAGGGAGTAATTTCATCCAAAAAATTCCCTTAAATAATCACTTAAACGAGCATCAATTAAAAATACTCCTATGGGATAGTTGAGGGGAGTTTTTTGCTAAAAATATTCATAAGGGGAGTTTTTCGCAACTGGCTAATAGTCAAGGGGGATTTTTTGCAATTCGCCCTAATATATTTAACACATAATATATTATAATAGATAAAAAAAAATGCTAAATAATAATTTTTTTTTTCCAGAAATTAATAATATATCTTATATGTAATAAAATATCTAATATATTATAATATTATAAATTAGTTATAATATAATATTTACATATAATATAATATAGATATGATATATTATAATATAAAATATTTATTGCATAATAATTAATAAGATTATCTATAATATATATATATATATATATATATATATATATATATATATATATATATATATATATAAAATAAATTGTAAATATTTGTCTCAAAAAATATTTTACACTTATATATAATATATTATCTATTAAAATATATTTTTTATTAAATAAAAATAAGTTATATTATTGTATAATATATTGTATATTAAAAATATATATGTATTTTTATTAATATATAATATGTAACATTAGTATATAACATTAATAATATGAATTTTGTTCGAAATGAACAATACCTTTACAATAATAATAGCAAAACATTTTTGATCTAGAAAACATAAGAAACACCTCTTGTTATTAATACTCCTTCCGTCCCATTTTAAATGTCGACTTCTGGAATTGTGACACAAATGTGAGTCAGAATTCCCGAAGTCGACATTTAAAATGGAACAGAGGAAGTATATAATATGTAGAATTAGTATCTGTAACCGCTTGATTTTAATGATGGAATTTTTAGTACACTATCTTCTCCAGAATTGGAGTGAGTGCTTGCATTGCGTAAGCTTCAGATAGAGGCCCCGATTGGGGGTTTGACATCACTTGATGTTATTAGGAAGTTCTCTATTGTTGCACCAAGTAAATGGGAAGCCTAAGTACTGTCTCTCTACTTGTCTTGAAACCTTCCCATTCTTTATTATAAGGGGACAAAAATCCGCGCCAGTGTGCCTCTCACTGGATCCAATGAGGATCCAACGGCTGAGATCAAACCCACCTCAGCTCCCTTGCCATGTCAACGCCTACTCAGCTCCATCTCAGCTCCTAGTCAGCAAGTTAGTGAACAAAGTTACTGATGTACTCTTTCTTCGATCACATGTACGAGTACCCGAAACAACATACACTTATACATTATACAATATATCATATACAATATTATTCTATTCTGTTATAATTTACTTTTACATATTCAGTAAAATTAACCTCTTCTTCTTCGTCTCCTCGATTTCTTTCAATCTGGTATACTTTGTTGTGGTTATTTTTGAAAGGTGATCCGTTCGATATCTTGTTTGCTCTGGTTCTTCTTGTTTCATTGGAACTGGTATCTTGTTTCTTGCTCTGACTACGATAAAATCTATAGCGAAGAAGAAAATGAAAAAACATTCGCTACCTAAGAAGCCAATCTCTAGTAATGACGCAAGAACAAAAAACGATAATGAAAAAGAACAAACCAGTGTTGGTGTTTCAGGTGGTGAACAAGATTTGGTGAACCTGCCTCCCACAGTGTTCTCATGTATAGGTAAACATTGATTATGCTTTATAAATTAATTTAGAATAATTTATATCGGTCCAGTTCAATATCCAAATCTAAATTTATTTGAGGTATTAGGGTTTTGAAAGAATTGACTAATTATATAGAAAACGATAATGGGGAAGAAGTTAAAAATTTGATTTGTCCAACTATTTTATTGTATGCAGTTAGAAAAAAGTAGGTGATGCAATATGCAAATCTTCCTACATATATGTGGAAAGAATTTGTGGTTCTTGTTATTAATTTAGAAATTGTGAAATTGAGTTGTTGAAGTTAATTTTTTTAGCGTGTTAGGAAAATATGTTAATGCAATACGCAATTCGTACATGATACATGTTTAAATAAGTTGTGATAATAATATATTATTAATTCTTATTTATTGTTAGGAAAATATGTTGTTGCAATATGCATTTCATAGTTATTGAATCTTTAAAAAAAGTATTTATTTGTTATGATATCTCGGGGGTGACTTTATAAGAAAGTACCGGAAAGAACACAGAAAACCCGATAGGTTACTGAAGCCAGTAATGCATTTAGTGCACAAACGTGCTCGAGTGATATGTAATGCAATGTCTGCTATTGAGAAGGAGTCATGAATTAAGGAACGAAAAAGACTAAAGGAAGAGTACGCCAACCTTCCTGAAGAAAGAAAGGTTTAAAAAAAAGAGATAGTAATTAAATTTTAATATAAATATTTGATTTGATGACCTAACCTATAATCTATGCATGATGTGTGATAATCATATGGCTTTGTAGCAGAAGAAAAAGGGAAAAAATAAATCCAACCAAAGGTGCTTGGCACAGATGCTCTCTGTCCAAGTTTCTTGAAGCAGTGTCACAACTTGATGAGGAAAAGATAAAGGCTATTGAGGAGCTTGGGTTTGGCAAATTGTTGAACCTTAAATGTTCTTTTTTGTCCCGGGACTTACGTATGTATTTAATTAAAAAATTTGACCCTGAAAATTTTCGCATAAAAGTTAAGGACATTGGGTATATACCCATGCATTTAGCTGATGTCTACTCCATCCTTGTCATACCATTTGGTGTCCGAAAGTGCCCACAAATGTCCACTTTTTTTTATGCTGAGTGGATAGATGAAGCTGGTTACAACAAAGTTAGAGGAATGCACCAAGATGTTTTGTTAGAGCAGGTGTTAAAGCTAAAGGGAGTTGATGAATTCATGCGAGCGTTTGTCCTCTTAGCTTGCTCTACTGTACTAAGTCCCACCAGCCGTAATAATTGTCATTGGGGCTTGTTGAAATCTGTGGATGATGTGAATGTCATTAGTACTTACAACTGGTGTGGATATGTTCGTGATTGTTTGGTCAGAACCACAGAACAAGCTGTAGATGACAAGCTGAAAAAGTCATACGGTGGTTGTATGATGTTTTTGCATGTATCCTTGGTTTTTATTTTTATAGATTTCCCTTTAAAATGTGTGAATTATATATTAATATTATTTAATAGAAGTGATATTTACTTTAATTATTGCTCTTTGAAGTCGGCTGCTTTATTTAATGCGTTGTGATACGCAATACCGAACTTATCTTGAGGGAGATATGAAAACATTGGTTCATGGACATCAGAGGTTGTACGTTCAAACATCAGATGAGAGTTAGGTAATGGAGGTTTTGGACATGGACAGGTAATTGTTTTTGTTATGTATGGACAGGTATATTTATTAATAGTATTTGGTATTGTTGAATATATATATATATATATATATATATATATATATATATATATATATATATATTATAATTTGATGATAGACTAGTTTTTTTTTTTAAATATGGAATGGAAATAGTTGATCCCTATGAAACCGAAGACATGTAGCAACAGTGGTAAT